TAAATGTAATAGCATGCATTTAACCAAGATAAATGTGTCGTGTTTGTTGCCAATAATAATGAAGCTAATCAGCAACGTGACAAATTGTCACTCTTTCTATAGTATAACCAATGTGGCCGGATAGGAAATCAGTTCCACTACATCATAAATTATCTTACTGTTAATAGTATAAGCCTTTGTTAGTCCATCAATACAATCTTTTAATAACTGCTACAGCACATTTATTCTGGTAATAAACATCTTGCTTGCACACTGGAAGAATTGAAGAATATAAGTAATAATAAATCAAAAATATAATGTAAAGTATTATTTATTATTTTTGTGGCTTTCCTATGGGAAATATCTGAAGAGCTTCCAGAAGTATTATTATGTAGCTAGCCAACTCTGTACCCTAAGGGAGACGGAGGAGAACCTTGACATAACCTATTTTTAACCACGCCTCTGGCGTTTCTGCATTCAAGTTTATAGGTGAACATGTCAGGTAGTACATAGAACAAAGCCAAAGACACACTGTATTAATCATAATTCTGTCCAAGCACATTTTATTTTTTCAACATTTGTGATTTAAAATCGCATGACATTTCTTCAAGGTGAAATTCTACTGGACTTTTCAAGAGAGCAAGTCTATATCTAGCTAAATTAAATATCACCTGCAGTAAGATCTCTAATACTTCAGAAAAGGACCAATAAACTTGATAGGGTTCATATTAAATTATTTTAACAGCATGTATTCATTTAATGAAGCTATTTGTTTTTCAATATCTAGAAAACTGTCTGCTTTAGTGATTAGCAATAGGCTATTAATAAAGCATTTAAATAAGACTATTCCAACACCACTGCACAAGAATATTCTGTAAGTATACACGGATATCATAATTATTTTATTGCCCCATCTTTAGTTCCTACAGATATAGTAAATTCAATTGACCATGAAATTAAGTTTCATAGTCAAAATGCCTCCTTTACATTTTTTTATTGCTGCAATAAAAATTTTTAGAGCTTCAAGACAAGGTAATTTATGAAATGTCTAATTTAAAGATGAATTCTAATATTGTTAATAAATATTTACCAGTTTAATGAAGTGCACGTTTTCAGTATAAAATGTGATGTACTGTTTTCATTGTCAATTTTTGGAATTTGGCTTAAAAGTGAAAAAGGCATCTGAAAAGCAGATAGAGCAAAAGGATCTTTTAGAGACCTATGTGGTAACCCTCCATTACGCATTTATTTATTTCTTTCTAGATCCTGTAGTGATCAACCATTTATAAGTAGGGTTGAAGAGTGATTTAAGTGAAAGCGGGGGTGGGGTGGGGAACCTCAACTGCTTAAACAAATGGCAATTGCTGATCCCCTTCCACACAGTAAAACTCACATGGGATGATCCTGAGGGTAACATTAACAATCCCCTGGCACAGCTCCTCACTATCAGACTTTGGGGCCCACTGCATATGACCACTAAGGTTGTGCTATCACAGGTTCTCCCAGTATGAGCAGAGGGTAGCAATTAGAGTGGAAGTCTGTACAAGAAGTATCAGAAGACTACTGACAGGGGAAGGTCTGTGCTTCTGTAAACCTCCACCTCAGTCCATAGAGAAATGAGTCTGTATCTATGAAGTTCACAGAAGCACTAATGCAGTGGAGGTGGAAGCGGGTGAGGAAGAGGGCATTCAATTACAGCGGGTTCCTTCCCTCATCTGAAGGGAAGCATCCATTGTCATTACTCATGGCAGAATCACAACATAGGAAAAATGCAAACTAAAAGCCAAAATCTGCTCATTCAACAATCCAACTGATAGTGCTGACGGAATAATGCCTACATGTACATATGTGATATGTAGCCCAAAATACTTTTTCTCATGCCTCAAAAGACAGGGTTTGTATTGAGTTTACACATATATGAACACACATACATACAAACATGCAGATGCCTAAACCCTCTATGCATCTAAATGGCACATATGCAGCCACAGATCTGCAGTTTCTGCACTTAAACAGTTTTACCTTGTGGAGAAACATAATTGTTCTAGGCGTATACCTGCTGGAAGCAAAAAAGACGATGGTTTTCTTGTGTTTTAGCCTAGTACTTAGGGTACTAGCCTAAGGAACAGGAGACCTAAATTCTAGATTCCTGACACCCAGAAGGGAGTTGAACTTGAAATGCTTGCTTCCCAGCAAAGTGCTCTAATGCCCAGATCCTTCTCCAAGAGTCCTTGTGAAGTTGGCTGACTGCCTTGGATTTAATATTTATTGGACAAAATTAATAGTTTTAGTCCCTGCCTCAATGAAAGTAAGACCCAACTAGAACCAAGGGTTCCCTCCTTCCAGGGCAGCTTTCATTTTCCCTGGCTTTTTCTCGTTTTCCACACTATACATATTCCCTTCTTTTGCTTTCCCAGTGGCTTTAAGATAAAGGTAAGAGCTCCAAATTCTGAGGAAACGCTGTAGAAAATGCAAACTAAGATTGTATTACATTATCAATGGGCTGCTATTAGGATTAATGAAGTAACCATTAGGCCTGTGCAAAGCGGCAAATATTCGATTTGGCTTTGGATTTGGCCAATTCGGAGAGACGGTGATTCAATTCAGTGATTCGAATCACTGTCCCAATTCAATTTGGCTGATTCGGATTCACATATATACTCGGTTGTCAAATCAAGCCGAATCTCCTCTGAGTCAAACAGATGGCAGCAGCAGTATTGGCAGCTGGAGTATGGCAGCGATGAGTGGGGCCCCACTCCCTGCCCGCTCTCCAGCCCCCACCATAGCGGCACTTAAAAAAATAAAAGCCCTACACTCACCAGCTGCAACAGCAGCTATTGGGGCCTCTGGGGGCTCGTGGCAGAGTCCCCCCATGCAGCAGGGGGCAGCAAGGATTGCCCCCCCCGCCACCTGGCACCCACGTGGCAGCTGTCATATTGCACGGGTGCAGCGTAGCTTGGCAGGGCCCCACACAGTCACAGAGCTGGGGCAGCTCCAGCAGTCACCCGAAGCCCAGCACTGCTCAACCCAAGCGGCCCCAGCTCCCGGACAGCATGCAGTACCAGGGAGGCTAAGGGAGCCAAGCAGGGGATGAGGCTGGGTGGGGGTTCCACCATGGTTCCCTCCCCCCCCCTCCAGCCCTACCCCGCTACTTACTGGCACGGAGCCCGGGTCCAGCTCCCTGCAGCACCAAGTGGGGACTGCCCAAATCTCCGAACTGATTCGGAGGCTTCCAAATCCATTCAGAGGCTTCTGATTCAATTCGGATCTTTTAATGGGTCTCCTGATTCAATCTGGATTCGGAGATTCATCCCCCAATTTGAGCCGAATCTCCTTTGAATCAAATAGGCTACCAAAGCTTTCACAGCCCTAGAAACCATCTCCCTGGCCCACCCGTATCACTCAGAAAAAGCTCCCCAGAAGGACCAGGGCACAAACTATCACAAGCCCCATTTCCATATAAAAATACAAGAAATGTTAAAATAGGTCAGATCATGGCTCCATCTAGCCCAGTATCCTATATCTAATGGTGGTAGATAGTGGATCCTAAGAAAAAGAGAATTAACAAATGGACTCTCTAAATACTTCTCCTACTTCTCTCCTAATACAGCTTTCACTATTCTCATATACAAAAAGCAGTGAATATGCACACTGATCCCCACAGGACAATTAAACCCTGCATTCCCAAGCACAATGACAAAGCTAAAAACAAACTTAAATGACTGCTTTTAAAGATTTACCCTCTGGGATGCAAAGAGTAAGGAAATACCTCTTTTATTACTAGTATACTGCATATTTGTTTTCTTTCCACTTTTACATCATTCCCAGCATTATGTCTGAAAATCATCCTTCATTACTCTCAAGCTAGTGGCCACATAGGGCATTTATACACATAACTTTTCGTGCTGCGACACAGATTAATCGAGTCTGTTCCACATGCGAGCTGACGCGCACTGCACTGCGTCGCATGCAATTGTATAAGCGGCGAAATGTGCGTTAGTGTGCACAAAATGGCAGTGGTGCGCTTTTGGATTAAAACACTTTCAATGTGTTTTAGTTCAAAAGCACACCACCACCATTTTTGCAGCACTGATGCACATTTCACCATTTATACAGATGCATGCTCCACAGCACAGGGAACTTTATCATATGTATAAATGCCCATACACATCTGTTGTTTTGCACCATTGTGAAGTAGCAGCTACTCCCTGCTGGCTCCCTAGACTGGGGATCCCTGGTCTGGGAAGTGGTAGGGAGCTTTTCCCTGCTACTCCAGTCTACCTGAGAGCAAGTGAAAGTGGGCTGCTGCACGCTGAATGCTTGTACCGCTCCCTTTCCCTCTCTTTGAGTGATTTCTAGAGGTGCAAATTTCTGAAAAAAATTCCAATGCTAGAAATGAACACCTGTTCAAGGCCAGACATTTATCTGGCACTTGAAATACAAACAAGTGGTTCCCTTAAAAATCTACAGCTTACCCTAACCAACAAAAAAGGAATTATTAAAATGGTAGAACCACTACCTCCTAGTCCTGAACTGGGTGTCACTTTCTGAATAAACTGTATCCTCAAAGTGTTTGACTCTCATGAATTTCCCCAGCAATTATTGGTACAGAATTTCCTCACTTTCAAAGCCCAGTCCAAAAATGCAAATTGTTACATTCCCAGTATTACTAGGGTACTTACTGCAAGAGATCTGTTTACATGCAGCAAACAACATTTTGTTTATTAGTAAGATATCTTACTCTTCTGAATCCACCAATAGTTACCCTTAAATATTTGTCAGTTGCCTTAGGGAACTAAATAATGGTATCTCATTATTTGCAGTGTAATACTGAGGTACTTGCCATCACATATAGACAGAAATAACATTAGCTACTATTAGCAAGTGTTAGGGCTGGCCACATAACATTAAACCTTAATGCCACTTTCAGAAGTCATTGAATATACATTTATTAACAAATATGCCTTCCTTTGTTTTGACCCATGTTTTAAGCACTGAAGGATATAAAGAAGCATGCCTACCATATGTAATCCATTGGTGTGGACTACACCATCTTGTTCCACAAGATTTCGAGATATTGTAATAGAAGGAAGATCCAAGCTCTGTGGAGGAAACTGGGGTGTAAATTCATTTCCTTGTGCAGACAACTGTTCACCTAGTCCCTGAAATGGTAACAAGATGTCTGCCATTCCCAGCGTGGGGTCTGACTCAGGAGGGGGTGTAATTGGTGGAATCTCAAACTCTTCATCACCGAGGCTTGGAGTATGGAATGTCTGCTAACAGAAAAGAAAAGAAAACAAGGACAGTAAAGTACACCACTCCAGATAGTTTTGGCCTCGCAATACAAAATAATTCTCTACATTCTCTATGTTCTGTATTATTTAGATCTTAAATTAAAATGCTCTAAGTAATTTTTTTTACAAGTTTCATATACCAAAGGGCTTTGTGGATCATTCTGATTAAAGATTTAAGTCTCATTATCATATGGTTTTAATGGAGTATCAGTATTAACAGTTTTTTAATGTGTACTTAATTAGCAACATCTGTCTTTGTTGTTAGTCTGAACATCAGCTACATTGGATTTGGCCATATAACAAATTGCCACTTTATTGATATGTTAGTGAAACAGCACAAACAGCTTACATTATTCTCATGCTTCATAAAATACTGACAATTTCGTAGCATATACACAACATTAATTCAATACTACACATTGCTCATCTTTTGTTTCTCTTTTTTTATAACTAATAATATCAAATCATATGCATCTGGTTTTGATATCTTTTGTATTCCATCCATGAAATATACTGACTCTTTACATAAGGGTTATTATTTAGAAGACTGATATTTACAGCAGTGATGGTGATTACAGTAGCATCCAATGTTTTCTTAAGCAAGCCAGCTTTGTTTGAACAGTAGGTTTGTTATGAAGTAAACACCTGTTAAGATGCCTTGAGCAGAACACTTACTGCCAGTTATCTTCAGGGTTTGTGCCTGTGTTTGTAAGCGTCTGTCTAAGATCATCTTTATTCAAGTACAGTCTGTATCTGGCTTCAACACTGCTTTAGTTGGAAAACAAATGAACTACGCTTATTCAAATTTCTCATGAGCTAAATGAACTTTCATATATTATTTCAGGTCCGCTGCTACTTAATAATGGAAAGTCAGTGATTGAAATTAGGGCATTTTAAATGTACCCAAATCAGGACTGTTTTGATCAGACAGGGCAGTTGGCAATCTTAAAATAGGCACTCTGTCTTGCTTTGGACATGCAACACTGCTCTGGGATTTGTTTGTATTAGTTCAAAATTCCAGTTAATGGTGGGGGGAACTGTTTTATGTATTATTTATGTTGTTTGAAAGAGTGACTTAATGCCAGTTAATTTAAAAATTATATGTTCATTGAAAGATCTCATTAACTGCTGTAAACTGTCATCCTTCAAACTGTTAATGATGATATAAATTAATAACTGCTCGAGAGAAAATGGAAACTGAAACACAAGAAAAACCTTTGCTTGCATATAGAACCTGTCAGCTGTCATTATTGGTCTCACACCAGAAATGATGAGGTCCCCGCCTGCTACAGTCTGCATGAGTACAGTGAAAGTGAACTGAGACTCTTGTGGTCTCACTTGATACAGAATACTGCAACTTAATTCTAGCTTTGAAAGCTAGTCCTGCATTAGGGAGACATTTGACTTTCATTGCTGTATTACAAAAGGTGTAAATTTTCTTACTGTGGAACCCTGAGTTCACAAACACAAAGGATGGATTGGTGATGAGAAGTGGTTGGCTAATGAACATAACCCTATGGCTGCATTTGCAGTTATTTTGGCACTAATGTGGTCTAGTAACAGATGCAACTGTAATTTGTGACTCATTTGCTACCCCATTACTGCTTAATGAAATCTAACATATCACATTAACAATACGGATAAACACTCATGCTTGATATGTGGCATTTGGCTGTTTTCATTACCACTGTAATTAACACTTGAAATATTATTTCAATAAATATTTAAGGTGCTTTAAAAATGGTCATGGTAATCATGACACAGAGACCGAAAACATAAAGCAAACATGTAGATTCTGAACCTGAAGGTGGTTCTGGTGATTACATTGTTAGGGCATAATTTACAGGACTTAAATGGTCTTCTAGTTCTGCAGTGCCCCGATCCAAATCCTCATTTAAATACAAAACCAAATAATTAAATATAGGCTAAAATTTAAATACAAAGTCAAATAAGTACAAAATCATTTAAATACAAAACCAAATAATTAAATATTTCATTCCAACATTAGATTCACACAATAATGCAAATATTAACACTTCATTATATTCTTAATTTTTTTTCAAGCAAAAGTATTCAGTAAAATCAATATTATTAGTCTAGCTCTCAAAGTCTCTTTAAGAGTCATATTTTTAAGGTGGTGGTAATTATAAGAATGTGACTGCCTTCCCCATCTAAAAGAGTAAACCTGGTAGAGATGTATAAATATAACAGTTGTGTAATAATTGAACTTTTTTCAAGAAACAGTCTTAATGATATAGTACCAGTCTTAATGATATAGTACATCTCTTTCACTTGTAGTAAGTTATAGTCATAAGTAAACTGATGAATACTTTAACATCTTTAAAACATGAAAATACATCTCACAGTATAATTGCTGCAACAAGTATAGCTTTAAACACAATGTATAAATGATCCAAGGATGAGGACAAAATATATGTAATCGAAAGAGGAAATAATGTCCTTTAGTGAAGTAGTCTTAATCCATATCACTGGGCTATTCAGATTGTAGAAAGGGACTGAATAGTATGAAATTTGGTATTGCAGAAAGATGCTGTTATGACCAAGATGGTATAACATTTATGGGTTTATCATATTTTTTAGAAGTTATTAACTTTTCAGTATTTCTCTCTTGCATGTTTTTTTAAGTGTGGGTGCATGGTTAAATGCCATCTGTACTGAAATGTTCAAAACATTTGTTCCTTTTGATAAAAATGCAAATCTGGAGAACTGTTGTATCAACATATAACAGCCAATGTCTGACACGGTGAATTATCACAGCTGGAATTAAATTGTCTCTGAACAGCTGCTGGCAGCAGAGCTTTCATCAATGTTTGATTCAAATGTAGGAAAGAAATTCTACAGAATGAAACATCATGTTGTCATTACAGATGGGGTTTGTGTTCATTATCACAAATAACACTGGAGACAGTGCCAAACAATATTCCCTTATCTAAGCAAGCTTGTTGGGTAAAAGAGATGGTGGTTATTATAAAAAACAATTAATAAAATACTACTTTTAATTCTAACCTCTATATTTATTGTAAACTATTTTTTAAGTGAAGATGTTTTTAAACCGTTACAAGAACATTCATGACAATCACCACCTTCAATGTCTAAACGCAAAGCTATTCAGTTTTTTAACCTTTCCTCGAGCTTGGAAAATTATTTACGACATACACCTTATGCACATATTTAGTACTGCTTACTGCTCATTCCAGTTCTCTCTCCTTGTCTATATTCATACATCCACATTTTATTAGGCAATATATCTTGCAATTTTTATACCTCCACCCTTTGGTTTTCCAGGGATGCCCAAAAAGCAGCTCCATCCGTAGTTGATATCAATACCAGAGCACTGATAAACTGGCTGTCAGAAGGTGTTGTAAAAGCTACTATAAGAGCACAATGGTTGACACACCCTTTCCCTGATGCCACCTTTCAAAGAAAGAGGCGATATGTACCACATCTTTGCCCCAGTCAGCCTTTATCATTCAGCCCCAAGGCTTGTTCCTCAACCTGTCCAATCCCTAGTTGAAAATCTATTCCCACAACACAAACACTGCAGATGTATAGATGTAGAAAAAAATCAGTTTTTTCGTATGAGTGAAGAATCCAAATTAAAATGTTTGTATCTATGATCAAAATTAGCCCATTAGCTACTAATGACTGGTACTAGGCTTGCTTTCAGATTGTACACCTACTGTGCCTTTTATTTCTTTCCTTCTGTTTATAATTTTTTTCATACATAAAGCAGATTTGTTTCTATTGACATGCTATGTAAGTAACAGCCTTATGGACAGCTAAATTGACTAGTAATGGAGAGCTGTCAGGTTATTTTCTTTCTCATTAAAGTCTTTATTTTGTGCTCCATAAAACACATACAAATTCAGCACTTCATTCTTCATCCGTTGAAAGTCTGTTAAATTATCAAAGCAAGCAGCAGAATATGACCATAGATAAAAAGAAAAACATCTACCTCATTTGCAGTAAGAAATGCATTATTCGCCTCCGCCATGTTCATGTAGTTGTTATTGTTCGCAAACTAAAAGAAAAATAGATATTGGGATTTTAATAAGTGCCATGATAAACCTTTATGATTATATGGTCCAAATATTCTTTATCCTATCAACAACCTAGAAAAATACTGCAACTCCCAGCACAGTCACCTCTACCAAGCCCTTCGAAAAGCACTTCATGGGTCCATTTCTAAAACAGGTAATAATTCAACCTCACACTATTATATTTTTTTCAGAGACTTTCTCACCCACTTACAAGGTCCTGTAGGGAGCCATGACCAAGTGAATTCTTAGTAGTGTGATTCAAATTACAGATGGGCTAAAGAAAGAAAGGGCGAGGAAACCTGCCACTTTTTTTCAGTCTATCATTATCATCTCATCTTCCCCACAAAAACTACAAAATATTTGCTCATGTCTCATTCCAGTGAAGACTCCCACTGCCAGTGAGGCCTGAAATGTCAGGAGATTAGGTTGGAGACCAAGATTATTGCAGAGATGCTGGATCTCTAACAGACAGCAGGAAATTAACCAAAACTGAAGTGGGAGCAACAGACCATCTCATTGGGTGCATTTACTAACCTAATACACAATAAAGCATCACTGTCTACACATGCGCAGCAATTACTGTGCAGTATATTAGTCTAATGCTCCCTTTACTAATCCCTGTATTGCATGTGTAGACACTGACCGGGAGGAAATTGCTCCCAGTCAGCCTAGGCAACAGGGGCCACAGGGACAGAGAGAGCTTCTTGGCTCGGTAAGAGGTGCCTGCCAGCCACATGGAGACTGGGACCCATCCTGAGCTCCATGAGGCTGGGTGAGCTGTCCTGGCTACCAGGCATCTGCCTCCCAGCCAGGACAGCTCACTTCCTCGCTGCCACGCCCCCCCTACTCAGGGCTGCTGCAGGGGAGCAGAGCAGGGCAGAAGCAACCCTGAATTCGGCTGCTACTGTCAGGCTCAATTTGCACCTGATGAGAGTGCATGTATAGACACGTGCTGGAGAGCACTTTAATGAGCCTGAATTTTCTGTGCAGAAAATTCAGATGCATTAATTGCATGTGTATATGTGCTCACTGAGAGGCAACTTTTCACACGTGAATAAATCAGAGGATCCTCATAGATATTTCTTTCCCTAAAAACCTCTCCTCCAAACTCTTGATGTTATTTAACTGAGTTACAGAAACATTTAGAGACCAGTATGGAAAAGAAGATACTACCAGCATTTGGGTAATTAGTAATTTGTGTCCATAGCTCCCTTAAATGGCATTAGTCAGATGTTTGTAGGAAAAACAGGTAGACTAGGAACTATCTTTACACATATTCCCACTGCACAAAGGTGTTTAATAAGCTCTGCTTTTGAAGAATAGATACCTTTGGTATAGTTGTGTTGCCAGATGAAACATTAAGCCACATAAATCATGTTTCTGATTTATTATCAGGCAAACTGTGAAAAGTATAATAAAGGGTAGCAAATAAGGTAGAAGTCCCTGTGCCACACTTATAGCCATATCCATGTTCATTACTGTTCTTGTAACTTAAATATTTAATACCTAACACAGCTTTGTGGGCAAGAATTAAAAAAGAGAGATTGGTGAAATCTCTGAACACCACATTAATTTTTCATTCATTGTCATTAAAATCTCCACCTCACACCACTATCATTAAGGTTGCATCTGCATTTCTCCCTAAACTCCTATTATCTAAGTTTTATAACTCAAATATAAATCTTTGTTTGGTGCTATTGCTTGTCTCAGAAAATGCTGGGTGCATTTTATTTGGAAATCTTTAAAGCGCATTTTTAAAAAAAGAAAACAAGGTATTTTTCTACTGTATGCAGCTCTACAATGTATGAGGATGGGGCATCACACATTTTCAGAGTTACCCCCATATTTTTTTCCTTTTGAAGGGAGCATCATGCAGGGTTGCCAGAGATAAACAAATCCCTGCTTAGAGGGAACTTCCATTCCACCCTAACTTTGCCCAGGCTTCCCACTTGCAAGTCCTGGGAAAGAAGATGTTTCAGGCCATATTTTGCAGCACCAGAGAACAGAAGTGTGACAGAAGAGTAGCTCTTTCATAGTAGGGCTAATTTCCCTGAAAGTCTTAAGAACCTGTACTCCTAAAATCAATTGGAAGACAGGTTGGAGGAAAGAAGATAGGAATTAACACATGGTTCTTGCAACTGAGTGTCTTTGTTTTGCTTTCACCCGACACTGGATCAGGGCCTTCCTTGCATGTGGAAGAAAAAAAGCAGCAGAAAGAATGAAGGGAAACTGGGGAAAGAGGGATGAAAACATAACATCTTCAATTTGAAGTATTACAAGGTTGGGTTCCTACTCCAACATATGACATTAGAGTGTGCATGTAAAAACAGAACACAATAAAAAATTTAGTCTATAATGTGGTGTAAGCAAAATTTCTGTTTACTTCATACATGTATTATCTCATAACTGTATCTATATGTATGGCTAGAGGTGATATAGATATAACATTCACCTAGGGGTTTAGTTCCAATGTCAGCTACAACACATTCACAGTAATTTTTTTCCAGACAAGACTGTGTGTGGATTTTAGCACACAGACTTAGTACTTATGCACAGCAGTCAGATTGACATGATAGATTTTCTCATGTCAGTGAGCCGAGAACTAAGAAGGATTTACATGAAAAACTCTAATGGCTCCAAAGGAGCTGTTCTCCTCTATGATAACAAAAAGTCACTTTTTCAAATAATACCTACATGTAGAAATGTACAATAGACCAGAATGGTTCTAATAGAATATACTGGGTAAATACGTGGGTCCAAATTCAACCCTGCTATCAATTAACATAATGGCCCTGAGGTTGCACCTGCTCTCAGTGGGACTGGATTTGGCTGCATATGCTTAAAAAATTGTATATTGTCTTGCTCTTCATATCAGTCTACACATCAGTCTACAGAAGCTGATTGACAAAACATTTTTTCTCCATTTTATGTTGTTAAATTAAAACAAAAGGAAAATCACAGATTGAAAATTATTTCTAAGTGTCATTGAGACTGTAGAAGCAAACAGCGAAACATGCACAATCGAAGTGAAGGTTGCAACAGAATCGTTAATTTGCTGTTATTGTGCTAGAGTATTTCAGCTTCTTTTACACATTACTTGAGGCACTTATGTCAGCCCCTGTCGTATTTCAGCTTTTGTCAGTGTGTATCACAACTTTAACATTATTTAAATGTAATTTTTAGTCTATGAATTAGAAATCCATTTAAAACAAACAACTCGTTATCAGTGAATATTTTTAAGATTAAACTTACTTATCATCTAATAGTACCTACAACAAAGGAAAATAAAATGGTTATTATCTTAAGGACCTAAACAATTCAAAAAACAAATTAAGCTTAGAGTGAAATAAGAACTGGGTTAGAAATCCTCTTCTGAACAGTTAGTATGCGAATGTAATTACTGAAGAAACTACAGCTAATCAGCTGTGAATTGTATCCATTAATTAGTATTTGCCCTGGAGAGATGAGAAAAATCAGTAACAATGTTAACACTGCAATGCACTGATGAGTACTGAAACACAGGGCCCTCAGCATTTAGTCAAGCAGGTGGCTCCAATGGTCCAAGTAATTTAAAAAGCTCTCACCTGAAGTGTAGAACTGGAATTACAAAGCACTTCTTGCATATCTTTATATCTATATAAGGCTATAATTAATGGCTTTTAATTTAGAAACACTTTGTGATCAGCTGGGAACAGTTATAAATCATTCTAAATAGAACAAGGTGTTCTATTCTATTTTAGTAAAATATTTAATTTGAGAAAAATGTTGTGTGTGACATGATTCCTTCGGAAGTCAACACCTTTCTCAATTCATTTCTGGAGACCATTTACCTAACTACTAACAAATATCAGAGAAGAGTGGCGCATGCATGCACATGCACATACCCGCTCCCACACCCACACTTAAGAACCGATGTACTAATTACGGGCGAAAGCCTGCCATTGGATTTACAATATGGAGCCCTAATGACTTTATCTCCTGGTCTAGAAGTGCATCTAACTCTAGTATGTAGCTCCTATAACTTGCTGTTCATGCTGGTCTACATGGTGTATTTTACAAATTACTTAGTAATAGTAGCAGGGTTGTAACAGCCATGTTAAACATGCAAGAAACAGGATGTTTAGTACTAACTTTTACTAGACTAACTTTATAGTTTCAAGATATGTCCGACAAGCCTTGGGGCACAAAACATTCTTCCTCAAGTCAGAAGCATCAGCAATACTTTATACCATATTTTTCCTTTCACAGGAAGATCTCAAAGCAACCTACAGCTACTAATGAAAACACATATCTTAGTTCCCTGCAGCAGTATACGATGTTATCTCAATGATACACGACGTGAGAGACTCTATTTTACTGGACTTGCCTCACCTGATAAAAGTCAATGGGAATTTTCCTACTTCAACTAAGTCAGGATTTCACCCTGAAAATTAGCTTTTAGGGACAATGACTAAAATATGTTTGTCTGTCAGCATCTGCTCTGGAGAATAAGAAGTCTCTTAGAGCCCCCACTATTATTGTAATCCAAAACAGCCTAGTCATTTCTACTGAGTATTTCAATACAGGCAGTCCTCAGACTTGCGACACAAATGGTTCCTGAAAACTGCTTCTTAAGTTGAACCATTATAACTTGGAACCAATTTTCCCATAGTAACAATGTTCTAAATGGCGGATTGGTTTCTTTAGGACACTGGATACCAGGGTGGGGCCGGCACAGGACAGAGCTCGCACGG